AATCTACAAGTAAAAATTTGAAATTTGTGAACGAGTTTTTTTCAAAGTAAGTACTATCGAAGATGAAGTTTTAGCGGAAATGCACATTTAAGACATTACAACACTATCACCACACATAGCGACGACTTACTGTATTAGCATCTGTCGTTTTTTTGTTCGGGCGTCTTTTGGTTGTATTTCGTGTAGGGCAGCATCAGCATTGAGCTGAACTAAGCGTACTGTAATTTACTCTAGCGTATGAGAGCGCTTTTTCCTGCCGTACCGTACTGTAGCGTACTATAACGTAGCGTAGCATTCGCTTCAAGGAATAAAATGAGGAGTAACCTTTATGCTACTGTAGAGTATCTGAACATTGCATAACATTTTGTATCTGAATACTTCAGCAGTGCAGCGTATGACTTGTACGCAACCGCCTAACACTTATTCGTAGAATACGGTGCAGGATAACGTACTGCTGGGTTAGATAGCGCTGTTATCCTGTAGTACAGAGTACTGCAGCGTACTGTAGCTTTCAAACACCATCAACGTGCTCAAAAACACACAGTTTGCGTCATAATACCTCAACGTAATGTAGCGTACTACCGAAAATTTAGTACTTGCCTATACCGTACTGTAGCGTACTGTAACGTCGGTTCTTATGCGATAGCAAAGCACGAAATTAACGGAATGGTACTGTAGCGTTCTGTGACGTACTGTAGCGCATGATCACGCTTTATTCATAATACTGTAGGGCAGTGTACTGTAGCTTAGCGTATAATGCAAAACACACATTTATCGTCATGAATTCTTCTTTTTCGCTTAACAGCAAATACCCGGGCAACGGTTAACATCTCAAAAATCGACAGACACAAGCTATAGGGGGCAACATGCAGCGGAAACAAGTAGGGAACATTTCGCACATTGCCAGAATAGTCAGTTAGGTAGGGTTCATCAGGCCACCGTCGTCGTCATGTCGTCGATGAAGCGTTCCTGGAAAAATTATGAAAATTAGGGGTTTCGATAGATTTTAGAGGGGCCGGGGAGTCAAATCTACATGAAATTTTGATGAAAATCATTGAAAACTGGTTTATAATCACGTAGATGAAGTTAAGAGCACTCTGGAAAAAAGAAACGACGAGATTTTGTATCGTTTTCAAAATTATGCTTACGCTTACGCTTCGATGTTATCGATTTTAAGGGAACTACGAAAGTGATTTCCAATAGCTATTTTTTCTGAAAAACGCAAAAGTGATCGAGAAACTGTACTCGATTTCAAGGGATGGTGCCACCTAGAATTTAGGTTTTCCCAAAGCATACCTGCTCGGCGAGCAGGTCGAGCTTGTTGCCGAGGCGGGCACGAGGCTTCCGCTTGGACACCATCGTCTTCTCGGTGACGGTTTTGCCGCCTTTTCGGCTCCTCGATTTCGAGATGGCGTTCAGCTTCGAGTGTTTCGAGTGCTTCGAGTGCTCGCGGGTAGCTTCTTGGGTCGTCATCTGGAAAGGGGTAAAATTGAGGTGCCAATCTTTTGCTCTCTCCCCCCCTCTCTCTCTCTCTATCTCTCTCGCTGTCTCTCTCCAAAATACCGCACCCCTCCAACGTCGCAGGTACGCGAGCGCGAGTCGGCGGTGACTAGCGTGGGTCTGTCCTTGGTCCGCTCCTTAGGCTTCTTCGTCTGCTTCTTCACATTTCGCTGCGATTTGTGCTCCGCTTTGAGGGCTTCGATTACCTAAGAAGCTCGTGGTGACGCGGTTTCGAGGATCAGGAACAGCTAGCAAAGATTCTTAGAAGTTCTCACAGCTTCAACTATTGGCTAAAACAGACAGTTTCTTTGGCAATTTTTTCTACGCGCTAATTACCATACCCTCCGTTGCGGGTCCTGATCAGCTTCGGCGCTGCTCGGCTGACTACCGCCCGGCTGCTTGCCTGTGGGCGTTGCGGCTGGAGTCTCGCGCTCCTGGCTGCCGCTAATCACCTCGCCGGAGTTGATGGGGGCTGGGGAAGCATCGGGGGATTGAGGCGTCTCGGGGAGTTGGGCTTGCTGGGTACTCGGGGTGATGCTGAAACTCAGCGTCAGATTTTTTGAGGAAGAGAGAACTAGAGCGAGAAAGAGCGAGAGAGAAAGAGAGAGAGAGAGCGAGAGAGAGAAAGAAACTTACCCTGCCTCCTCGTCCTTCCGGCAACACCGCTTCCTGCTGATGTGGCAGATGACCAGCCCGAAGCTGCCGAGGAGCAGCGTCAGCGAGCCGACAATGATCAGGGCTGAAAATCAGTAATTTCAAAAGTCTTATCTTATCTGAGGTTTTATTAGACCAAATCGGAAAATCAGATTCAGACAAAATACCAACAATATCGTTTTTTCGCCCAAAGCTGGCCCATTTTCGACAAAAAAATTGGAATTTTGAAATTTTTTGTCGTCTTTCAGATGGTTTTCCCGCTTGAATTAGAATTAATTTTTGCTAAGATCCCCCCCCCCCGATAATGCAAAAACACCCGCTTAAAAGCCTACTCATCGCAGTCTTGCTGTTCCGAAACTCCTTCCACGTCGATTGGCCCTTTTGAGGCCTGGGGGTCGTTTTTGTGACCGTAACGTTTGTGATCGTATTCAGGGCCGCAGGGGGCGTAGAACTTGTAGAAGTCGTCGTGCTAGTCGTGCTGGCAGGGGGCGGGGAAGTGCAGAGGACCTAAGCAAAATTCAAAATTTTTAGAAAAACTTAAAAATTTACTTTAGACGCATCTACGCCCGGGCCGCACTCCTGCAACTCGATGGTCAGCTCCGGGTCCTTGTAGCGCTGGTAAAACGGGTTCAGGTCGCAGTTCAGAAGGAAGTCGTTGGTGACGTGGTCTCGTTGTTCTTTCTGAACGTTTTGGGGTCGTGCCCGCCCCTAACGGCTAACCGTCATCAATCGATCCGGCTTCACGCATCGTGGGTACTGCCTGGCGAGTTGCGGAAGATCGACGTGATCTTGCGTCAAATTTCGGCCCCACATGACGTTCATCCAATTTTCAAGGAGCGTCGCGTACGGGCCGGACTAAAAGTGATGCTCAGTGAATTTCTGACTGGCTTTAAAGTTACCATGAAAGGTATAGTCCTCACCTCTTTCCGGTACGCCGAGTAGATCTTGGCCGTCGGCCCATCTCCGTGTAGGATGTCGAGGAGGGTGCAATTCTCGTAGTTACGCTGCCCTTCGTAACGACATTCCTGCGTGCACTCGGTCCACAATTTCTCGCCTTCCGGGCGTAGTAGACTACAATATTCGACGTCTGCGTAGAAAAGCTTTTCCTTATGCTCACAGTTGGCCGCAAATTGGGCGCGGCTCACAGGTGGTTCCGTTCCGTGGGGGCTCTTCGCCGGGCTCGCATAGCTGAATATGGAAATAGGTACCACACCAAGTCAAAACCACATACCCTCGTGACAGTACCCGGATCGTCCGGGAGGAACGACGGCGATTCCCCGGCTGGCAATCCGAGTAGGCGGCGTAGGCTGCCGGGGCAAACATGGAGGCGCGAGTTGGTCCCCGTCGCTGCCACGACGAGTCTGAAAACAAACTTTAATGGGGGATACCTCAAAAATTTTTTTTTTTTTTTCCCCCCCTCACGGCCCCCCGGTTCTTGTTTTTTTTTTTTTTTTTTTTTTTTTTTTTTTTTTTTTCCCTTTCTTGAGAGGGTAGAAAATTTTTTTTAGATTTTGTTTTTGGCCTAAAATTTTTTTTAAAAAAAATTTTTAACAAAAAATCCTCCGGGGGGGGATAAAGAAACCTTGAATTTAAAATGTTTTAAAAAGTTGAAATTTTGGTAAAAACGGCCATTGATGTTTTTATTATAAAACTTTGTAGACTTTTCCCGTTCAAAAATGTTAAAACGCTCTACAGTACCCCGAGACGGTAATCCCAGCGTCGCATTGCGTGATGAAACTCGGCTGCAGCCGCCGATGTTCAAAACCTTCCAGGTCTCTGCAAAAAAAGAGTGTTAACGGAAACTTAAATCGTACCCGAGATGCTTTAGCGGACATCCCCAAGTGGCCAGCATGCGCCTCGTGCAAAAGTTGAACGGGAACAGTGCCCATTGTTCGTGCTCTGCAAGTAGGGGTGTACCGGACACCGAAAACCTGGTAATAAAAACGAAACCAAACCTGAAGACCCGAGGTTGACCGGCTGGATGCAGGTAGGCGCCGGAAGCTCAGAATGTGCGTTCCAAGTCGTAGGTTGCTAAAAAACTTTTAAAGCACGAAATTTCTCTCTCTCCCGTTCTCTCACTTTCTCTCACTCTCTTGCTCTCTCTGGCTCTCTCTCGCCCTCTCCGTCTCTCTCCCTCTCCCTCTCTCTCGCTCTCTCACGTTCACAGCGCTCACACAAAACACGGCTTTCGGCGTGCATGTCATTGTTTTGTGATCCTCCTCCATCTGCGGTAGAAGGTCGCTGAACGTACATGGTTCCGTGACGCGCTGGCAGTTGGCGCACTAAAATAATTTATAGTGATAGAGCCAGTGAGAGAGAGAGGGGAGGGAGAGAGAGAGGGAGAGAGCAGGATAGATAGGGAGCGAGAGTTCCAGACGCACCATGGGGAACTGCTCGGTGGTGTAGTTGTTCTCCGTCAGCCAGTCTTGCGCATAGCAGACGAAGGCACACTGCAAATTGAACGTACATAACTATTCATAGCGTAGCGTAGCGTACTGCTCCGCAAAGCCCTTAACCACAGATTCCTCACCTTTTCCTGTTGAGCCGTCGTCAGCAGGCAAATTTGAATATAGAAGAAACAGACACGCCGAAGCCAGCAGACGCCGGACATGGTCTGCGCATCGACGTATGAGGATTTTGCGATTTTCACTCCTTCGAAATCAGGCCTGGTATGCAAATGTTATTCTCGGATTCAGCCTTGTATTCTCGAGTCACGTGCATTTCGTTCCAAATCGCCCAAAAACCCGTTTATCGCAAAGATTTCGTCCGTATCGATTCCAAGAAAAATCCACAAAAAAGCCCAACAAATAATGGCAAAATCACACAGCGAATAAGTTGCAATTTTATTTGGCCATTCGGAGGGTCGGGTCTTCGCTGGAGGGGAAGTCGTCGATGGCGCGTTCCTGGAGAAGAAACGATAGACGAGAGAAAGAGATAGTTAGGAAGAGAGAGCGAGAGAAAGAGAAAAAGATAGAGCGATTGAGCGTGAGAGAGATCTAGAAAGAGCTAGAAAAAGCAACCGACCTGCTCCTCCAGGATGTCTGTCTTGTTGCCGAGCTTCGGACGTGGCTGAAAAAAATGTTCATCGTGTCGAGAAAGGAGAGAACCCCACCAAATGCTTCGAGGCCATCGAGTCCTCCGTCGGGTCGTTTTGCGTGCTGCTCACGGATCTCTAGACGTCATGTTTCCAGGCCGCTGCAGGAGCCCCACCTTTTTGCCAATCTTCTTGGTAATCGTCTCGACAATCGAAATGCGGCTCTTGTGCTGCTCGAATCTGGTCTCGGGGCGGCAGGAGGGGGAGGGTTGGGTCTAGGAAGGCTAGTAGACGCTCACTTCCGACCGCTACCTTTTCCGCCTTCGTCTTCTCGGCGCTTGCCGACACATCAGCCGTCGTTCGCTTCGTGCCTTTCTGAAAAAAGGTTCAGTAGAACTAAGAGTTTCTGAGCGTTGTTCATCTACCGCCAAAAAAAATGTACCGGAGACGCTATAGGAGATGCCCGGGGGCGACGCTCCTCCATCACCGACGACAGCGGCTCGCTGTTCACCTCTGCACATTGGCTCTGGGAGAGCGGCTCGCGGGAGGAGGATCCCGATCCGCGGCCCGGGGTCGTTGGGCTTGGCTCGCGTCTGAAAATTGGAGCTGGAGCTCTATCTCTATCTCTCCCGCATTCTCTCCCTCTCGCGCGCTCTCTCTCTCCAATCGCTCTCTAACCCTCCGTCTCTCTCACTCTCCTACCCGACTTTCTTCTTGTTCTTCTGATACAGCGCGGTGATGCTGACCGTCGCCAACACGCCGCCGACGATCCCGACGATCACCCCGATGCAGAACATTCCTAAAGAGACAAGCAATTTTTGGCAGTGATCAGCTACAAAATACCTAGCTCGCTGGTGTCGTCTTCAGTTTTTTTCATCCCGGAAGTACTGCAATTTGGGTTGGCGGCCTCGGCGGGTGCGACGAGCGGCTGCTCACCTTCGGAGGCGAGGCTGAAAAGCGCGAAAGAATGATGAGATTAAAGCTTAGAGCTAAGCAAATTAGCATACATTTGGGGATGTGCATCGACAATCCCAAAGAACAGCAGGACGACGGATAGGAGAAAGAGGAACATCTTCCAGTCCACCATAGTCAAGGCGTGAATGGTGTCGCGGGCTTGGAATTTTAGGGGTTCGGGGCCGGAAATGCAAAAAAAAATCAGGATGCAAATTTATTATTTATTTTCTCCATCTGTCTCTCTCTCTCTCGCTTTCTCTCTTCCTATCTCTCTCTCGCACTCGCTCTGTCTCCCTCTCTGGCACAGTGAAAAATATTTTCGAAAATCTGGTGCCATTCGGATCATGCCCAAGCGATATTTCGAAACATTTATTCTTATCCGCAATGGCGACACAAGTCTTTATCCAGATGAATTCTTCTCTTGCTGCGGTTAACGAAAAGAAATGTTCAATTGAAAGCAGTGATCGATACGGGGGTGATTAGGTCGATTTCTTTTTTCTCTTCGCCGTCTCCTTGCCGGTCGGCATGTCGTCGAAGGCCCGTTCCTGTTCCTCGAGGACGTCGAGCCGGTTGCCAAGTTTTGCGCGGGGCTGAAAATTTGCAATTTATATTGGTAAATACTGGTACGGTGCCTTTAAAAATAACGAGAGAACGAGAGAGAGAGCGAGAGAAAGAGAGAGAGCGAGAGAAGGAGAGTGAGTCAGAGAGAGCGAGAGCGAGGGCGAGAGAAAGAGAGAGAGCGCGCGCGCAAGCGCGGTAAAGAGATAGGCAGGCCAAACCTTACCAGTTTCCGGGTCCTGTCCTTGCTCAGCTCTTTGCTCTTGTCGAGGGAAGGCTGGAATCAGAAGGTCCAAAAACTTCAGCAAATTCTGACCTTCTTGCTGACGGCCTGCATGAGGCTCTTGACAAGCTGCTTGGGCTTGTCGACGATCGAGTGCTCGGGGCTGCGGTTGCTCGCCGGGGCAGACTCCTTGGAGCCGTGCTGCATTTTTGGGCTCGAGCGGTGCTAAGAAAGAGAGGTTGTTAAAGTTGTCGAAGCCAACCTTCGGGAGGAACACATCGGCGGAAGAGACCGGGTGGATGCGGCGAGGTGGGACCTTAACGATTCGAAATTGAATTAGCACTGTCCCTTTAAAAAAAAGAGAGAGAGAGAGGGGAGAGAGAGAGAGAGAGTGAGATAAACATACCGGTGACTCCGCCCTCTCTACCGGCACGTCAGCTTGTCGGTCGGCCTGCCTCTCTGTGATTCTCTCGGTAGTTCGTTCGGTTTTCCTCTTCCTTTCGACATGTCGATCTGTCTGTCGATCGGTAGTCACTAGCCGTTCGGTAGGCTGCCGCTCCGTCACCTTCTCAGCCGACCCGCCCCGTTTTCCATCAGATCTGGGTAGTTGGAGCTGGAGGTCACTTCCTGACGCTGCGATGATGGGCGCGATCTCCTTGTCGGTGGCTGGTTGCTGAAGATCGTGGGATGAGGCGACGTGTACTTCGGTGAGGTCAGGGCTCGAGCGAGGGGGTTTCCTGAAAAGTAATGAAATTTTCCAAGTAATGTTACCCGTCCCCTTTAAGGGAATCCCCACACCCACTTTTTAAACAAATGCCAAATCGCCACCACGCCGATCATCAACATCACGCCAAAGATCGTCCCCAGGAAGAAGCCGAAGAAGAACATGCCTAAGGTAGTAGATTTTGAAAAAAAGTCAGCAGAAACTACGGTACTGGACTGTTAGCAGGGGCGGGGGTGGTTGGCAAGGGGGTAGCTAATTTTTGTTTTTTTTTCGTGTATGCCTACTGTTAATAATAATAAGCGTATTTTTATGGTTTTTTTAGTTTTTCTTTATTATCAAAGTTAGAGGAAATATGTTAAATTTTTCAAAATTTGAAAAAATTTACTGCCCACACCCCCCCCTCCCCCCCTCCCCCCCCCCTCACCCCCTTCTCCCCCTCCCCTCTTCTCCCCATAATAAAAAAAAAATTTAATTTTTCCACACAAAAAAAAAAGGTATTTGGAGAACTAATAAAAAATTTTTTTTTTTTTTGTTTGGTTTTTTGTTCCCAAAAAACTAATTTTTGGGCTTATGACCAAAAATCCCACATTTATCGACAATTTCTATTTGTTTTTGAGCGTATAAAATGCCCATAGGGTTGTACCGGATTACTTGGAAAAATTAGTTTGCACCGTGCTAAAACTACCCCCTGCTAACAGTCCAGTACCGAATCTACCACCTCCGCAAGGCTCGCCCTGGCCGGCCACCCATTTCGGCCCCGGAAGCGGAGAAGTGTGATTCCGAGTTGAATTCTTTGGAGGTGCAGTTGGAGGTTTCGTAGCATTTTTTGTAGGCTTCGGATTGGGCGGACTTGGCTTGGGCGGTGATGTCGAACTTCCAGGTGACGGAAGCGGGACTGTTGAAGCCGTAGAAGGCGGAGCTGGACCATCTGAGGTTGTCGTAGTTGTACTGGTTGTGGTTGACGGGGTAGTTGTGGAGTTGGACGCCGGCTCCTTGGTAGTCGTGGCGGCGGGGATGCAGAGAAACTTCTGAAAACAGGAAATTGTCGAAAATTAGAGCTAGAACCACGATACCTGACGGGGCAACTAGCAGAGATGCTTTGGGAATTGAATGCAACCAGCAGCGACCATTTAGGAATTGCAGGCAAACTAGCGGAGATTGCGTAGGAATTGAAGGCAAACTAGCGGAAAATTTGATGGAAAACATCCTCACTTTCGGATCCTCGCCCTCCTTGCAGTCGACCGGCTCCAACATCATCGCCAGATTGTTGCCGGCGTCGTAGAATGGGTTCAGGTCACAGTTTAGGAAGCGATTGACGGCGACGAGCTTCTGCTGGTCCTAAAAAAGGCTTAAGGTGGCTATTGCCCTAATTCCCGACTTCCGACAACTTCTCCGCCTTGACACATTTTGGGTACTTGATGGCATCGGTGGGGGCGAAGTCGAGCTGCAGCGTCTCCTCGTCCGTCAGCAGCTCGGCGTAGGGACCAGACTAAACAATTAAATATCTCTCTATCTCTCTCTCCCTCTGTCTCTCTTTCTCTCTCTCCTTTTCTGTCTCTATCTCTCTCTATCTCCCTCCCACTCACCCCTCTTCGATATGCCGATATCACATGCTCGCCATCCAGGATTTCCAGTGGCACGCATTCCTCGTCGACGGTGGAAGAGTACTTGCAGATTTTGAAGCAAGGGTTTGTCGGTATTTTACTTTCGTCGAAACTGGCCGGGCGCCTGAAATTGAGACTTTTGTGATCGAAAACCCTTCAGCCAACGTCAATTCGCACAGCGGGACCGGCTCGCACGGCGTCTCGCCCGCCGGTTTTTCGTTGAAGGCGCAGAACTTAAAATGATAAGATCGGGTAGTTAAAGGGTGAGGTATCGCTCAGTTTCATACCTTAAAACTCGGGTTCTCATAGGGAAGCCCATCGCCCGGGATTGGTACTTCTGGGACGGTGCCGAAACCGGCGGCCATCAGAAGGTTCGGGACGCACCCTTGTTCAGGGTCCGCAACGTCTCTAAAAATAGATAGTGCGTAGAGAGCGTAGATAGACAGACGAGAGGAGAGAGGGAGGAGGAGAGAGGAGAGAGAGAGGAGCCGGAAGGGAGGTCAATATATTCCCACTTTGGCACGGTGAAGCCGGCGTCGCACTGGTAGTAGTACTCGATGCCGTAATGCGGGCTCGCAGGATCGTATGGTGGCACTGTGCTTTCCCTAAAAATCGAAACATCCATTTCTCTCCTTCTCTCTCTCTCTCTCTCTCTCTCTCTCTCTCTCTCTCTCGCTCTCTCCCACCGACCCGTTATCACAGCCGCCCTCCTGTTTCAGCGCTGGTGTGCACAAATTGAAGGGGAAGAGCACCATCCTGACGTCATCTGCTGAAAATGACGGTCTTGAGTGTAATCCGGGTTTCGTTAAATGTATGATACGCCCCCGGGGGGGGGGGGGCCCTTTTGTTTTTCTTTTTAAAAATTTTTATAAAAAAAAAAAATTCCTTTTTTTTTTTTAAAATTTTTATAAAAAATTTTATTATTTTTTTTTTAAAAATTTTACCCCAATTAACAAAGAACAAAATTTTAATACAACCAAAATTTACTTCCAACGTTGTATTCGACCGCACGAATGCAGTCGGTGGCGGGGCTTTTGAGGTCTTCCTAAAAAGTTTCGTTCTCGTTTCATAAAGGTTTTCCGCTCAAGCGTACCTAAGCTGGTGATCCTGAAGCTACCCACACAAAACAGGCTCGGCTTGCACTTTGTCATCAAGTTGCCATTTTCCATGGAAAACTTCGCATCCGCTTCACACGATTTGACAGCTTTTGCATCACAGGGTGTACACTAAAAAGTGGTCAATGGAAATTGACCGCAACACTTACATCTTTTACGGGTAAGGTTGCGAATTTCTGCACGGTGAGCCATTCGTTGGCCCAGCAGGCAAATTTTCTGTCGCCCTTGCACTGAAATGACAGATGAAGTCTAAGCCTACGTCCAAGCCTGAACCTTAGCCTAAGCTAAGCCTGAGCCTGAAACCTAAGCTGAAGCCCAGGCCTAAGCCTAAGCCGAAGCCTAAGCCTAGGCCTAAGCCAAGCCTACTACAAAAACCTGCCGCTTTTTTCTTTGGTGGTTTTATATCGGGTGCGTCAGCTGCCAGTGCAGATAGGTGTGTTCTAAACGACAAGAATAAAGATTTTAATCCCAAAATTGCATAATTTCAGAGTAAAAATCACCTTTCATCGGATGTAACGTTCGCTGTAAGGTTTCTTGGAGCATCTTGTAGCGGCTCTTGAGCGCGTAATAGGGCGCCTTGGGCGGAAATAGGGGCAGAGAGCGGAATACAGAAAAATATGAGCAGCAGCAGGAAGTGGCGCTCGAAACCCCGGCGCCCGCCTATCATCGAGCAATGTGAGAAAGTGGCAGAAAATACAGCAAAACTATGAAAATGAGGATCGAAGTAATTTATGCAAATCACAGATCATCCATACGGCTATTATCGGCGAGAGGAGGCGAGAGAGAGTACGGGAGCGAGAGAGGGAGAGAGAGAGAGGGAGAGAGCAAGAGCAAGAGATACAGAGAGCCAGGGCTAGAAAGAGCGAGAGATCGAGAGCAAGGAGAGAGAACGTGAGAGAAAGAGAAAGATAGAGAGAGAGAGAGAAAGAGAGAAAGAGTAGGAGCGGAATAGGGAAAGCTAAAGAACGATAGTGAGAGAGGGAGAGAGATAGAGAGAGATGAGGCGAGAAAGCTGCTTTTCTCCAAAAACTGCCAATAATTATTTATTCAACCAGCCAATGTCACAGAAACGGATCGATTGAAAGAAAAGAATTATGAAAGTGGCTAGTCAGGTTGAATGTTTTTCGACGTGGTGCGTCGGCGTTCCATTGGTGCGTCCGGCTCATCCGGGCAGCGGCGTATTCGCGGGTACCATCTAGAAATATGATATCTAATTGAAAAAAGGGTAAAACCCCCCCAGCCCCACCTTTTTTTTCCTCCCCCTCTTTTTTTAAAAAAAATAAAAAAAAAAACTTCCCTTATATAAATTTTTAAAAAAAAAAAAAAAAAAAAAAAGGGGGGGGGGGTTTAATAGTTTTCATACCACCACCCCATCCGGCAGCGTCGCCGACTCGGGGATGTAGCCGTCGGGGAAGATGCCGGGCGGGAGACTGTCCAGGGTACTGTCGCGCCGTTGCACTCTTCTAAAGGAGGTGAATTCAAAATGAAACTTTTTTCTGAAAGAACAAGTCATGAAATTAATTATACCTGTGATACCAGACCAAAAACGCCACTCCGGCGGCCACCAACGTAATGATGATGCCATCGATGATCAGCACCCACATGAGGCCTACACGAAAAACCGACATAATCTCTTTCTATCTCTCGCGCTCTGTCGCTCTCTCTCCTCTCTCTCTCTCTCTCTCTCTCTCTCTCTCTCTGTTTCACTTTCTCGCTCTCCTTCTCCCACCATTTGCCGCCGGCTTGCTTGGTGGAGTCGTGGGGACCGCACTGGGCGCCACCGTGTCCTCCTTGCTGCCCTCGGCGTTCTCCTTGTTCGTCTCGGTCTCGGGGAACTCATCCGGGAAGAGCCTCACCGGCTCTGCAGCGCCCCCAGGAACTATGTCTTCATGGTGATCGTGGTCGTCGTCGTCATCGTCGTCGCCAAAATCCGACTCGACGATGGACGGCTTGCCGTCGTCGGGGCTCCGTGGTACCTGGACAGGTGCTTTATAAAGGCTAGCATAGATCGTTTCGGATTCCAAATTCTAGAAGTCTTACCGTAGCACCGATCCCGTCACGAGGAGCGAGGTGAAGCCAGCCGTCGTCTTCATAAGGATCAACATCGGCCGGCGAGACGGCCTTTTCGTTTTTCTCGGTTCTGAGAAAAGGGCCTTTTTCTTTATAACGAATCTGTGCCTGTGATCATCCTCGAGCTGGGCGACGACTTGGCCAAGGACGAAGAAGAAGAGCAGAAGAAAGCCAAGTGGCCCTCTACGACCAAACATTTTATGGAAATGAAGGCCATTTCGATTTTTCCCGAGTTGCCATTGAGGTCTATTATGCAAATTTAAGTTTCAATTTTTTTTTACGTTTTTTGCCCATTTCTGTGTTTTAAGTTCCCAAAGGACGTCTGCTAGCTTGCTTCTTTGTTAATTCGCTGGTTTCGTAACAATAATCATTTTTATTCAGTCTTTGTTAGCCGGTTACGGGATTAGTTTTTTGAAGTTCCAATCCAGCAACTGACTTTTTGCGTGGCGTTCAGTCCGGGCGTCCACCTTAAAAACGCATTTCCTTAAATGTTTAAAAAATGTTCTAAAGAGGCATCAAGAGCACCATACCAGGTATATCCAGTTCCAGGAATGTACCTGCAAGCATGTAGCGGGCCCAGCCCACCAATCAGGCCCTCGATCCTGAAAATAGAGGAAAATAAGATTTGTAAATTTCATTAAAGGAAGCCCAAGTGATGATTTATGTTTATGCTCATTTAAAGGGCACGTCCCGGGACGTTTTTTTGGAAACAAGCAAAGATTTGTCCGCGGCCGGGGGTCGAACCCGGACCCTCCGCTCGGGAGGCGCGGATGCATACCAGTCAGCCACAGCTACAACCTAGCGAGGGGATGAGGGGCACCCCACGCCGCAAAGGAGGGAAATTGCCTCCCACGGCACGAGCAGGCAGCGCGCGCGGTCCCTACGTCCATAGGGTGTACACTTGGGACGAGTACGGCCTCCTGAACTGTTTAAAAGGCACCAAAATAAATAACTACTAAAATCCTATACAATGGGCTCAAAAAGCAGACAACCTACTCGTAATAATGTGTTTCACATCCCAGAAACGTCACCACTTTGCACCCTTTTCTATTCCATCGAAAATTGTACGTTATTCCCGGCGCAACAACCGGGTCCACGCATTTGGTGCAGTCCAGAGGGGCTAAAATAATTTTAAGAATTTTTGAGTGCTTTCATGCCTTTTGTTTGTTTGCCTATTTCTTTGTCACCCGCAAAATCCTCGCCTTCGTCCTCCCTAAAAATTACACTTTACAAAAATTTTCCGGATTTTCATACCCATATTCGGCCGGGCATGAGTTTATTCGACCTAAACAAGATTTCTAAATCATACAGGGTGTCCCAATAAAAAACACCCCCTCTTTCCAACTCGCCGTAGAAGTATCGAATCGGAACGATAGCTACACCATTCAAAGGACCTTTAAACGGCCAGGTTAGCAACAGTGTTCAAAACTATGTTTTTATCTAGGCCTGCAATTTTAAATACAGCCTATACAGCTTTAATACGGCTACTTCCAATCATTTTGCTTGGTGAAGTTAAGGCAAATTAGCTCGTTTGCAACCCCGAAAAATCGGAAAATCTTAAAAAATGGTTTGTAAAATAGCGAGTTTAAACAAAAACATGTTTTTGTTGATGCAAGCTCGCCGTTTCAAGGGTTTTCGAATGGTGTCACCATCATTCCGATCCGATACTTCCATACGTCGATTTAGTGACGGGTGCCTTTTCCATTGGAACAGCCTGTATTTTAAATTACTATGATATAACGGCAAACTTTCTAGCGCTGGGGAAGTTTATAAGCTTTTAGAAAACTTACCAATTAAGCAGAAAATAGCAGCCAGCAGAAAAATATAGTATTTTCCCATATTTTTTAGCAAAAACCAAAACCAGGATAGATAAATTGACGATTCCCTCGCGGTCGTTTTCTTTAAAATCAATATTTCTCCGTGTTTGCGATTCACAGATTTTTTTATCGAATTCAGAAGTGTTTGTTTTGTGTTGAATCGAAAATGCTTTGATGTGAGCCGATGAGCACAAATCTCAAAACTCTTTATTGCGAATTTCAACGGCATAAATAAAGCTACGTTGTACCCAATTCAAACATATAAAAATATAGAAAAATAGAAAAATAAAATGTAAGATGGCACACATTAAATAAGTATCGAAATATACCTAGCGTAACTGGTTACGTTAGGCAATAAATAGGTATAGGTAATACTGTGGTTTCAGGCTTTGGTAGGAAGTGAGAGCGGGGGTGTTTTAAAGGGATGGTGACAGCAAGAAAAAGCAGGTTTCTACTATTTTTTGAAGCTAAAAGATTAGAAATTGCTTAAGATGTATAATCCATCGGCGTTCTTGCCTTCACTACCCCTTTAAAACAATATTTGGAATGTAATCAATTTTTTGGAATGCTAATGCGAGTGAATTGTTGAGCCGTTAATAGACGGGTGGGGCGGAAAGACACTATTCGACTACGCACTACAATAAATACGCAATAAGGAATCGATCGGAAATGTTGAGAGAAATTTTATAAAATTCACCGATTACGATAGGTAATTCGGTACATTAAAAATATATAGGTACTACATCTAAAAATACGCCTCTAAATGCTCTATTTTTCCAACTTTTTCGGAGAGGCCTGATTCTTCTGGCCGGCGGCGACAAAGCTGAACACGCACAGCACCGCGTAGCAAATTTGATCGGCCTGGAAGGGGCTACGGTAGTGGAGGGGTACGGTAGTTGGGGCACCGGATAGAGAACAACAACGTGTAAGATGGTCAGACGAGACAACAATAAAATTGCATGCGGGAAAAAAAACAGATGTTTTGGGATATTCGAGTTTTAGAAAATGCCTATTTCGTATCAAAATTTTAAATAGTTAGTTAAAGGTTGAAATTCTCTAAAATATTTAAATTTTTTAAAAAAAATTTAATTTTTTTTGTTAACTTTAAGCAAGAAATAGAAGTGATTTCGTGGACATTTTGCCGTTTTTACAAGGCAAAAACTTTTAAACGTATAAATGTCGGTATTTTTAATGGCAGCATTTTAGAATGCAATATTTTTGACACATGATTAAAATTCAATTTCGAAAAAAAAGGGGTAGGACGTACAAAAAATACAAAAATTAGGCAAAGGAGCAATATTTTTATAGTAGGATATTTTTTGCGTGATCAGGATAATTTTTCAGCTTTTAGAATGATGAAACCAGGTTCTAAAGTGTTCCAAAGTGATGTAGTTACCGTAGCCACCTCGAATCCCCCAATTCCACATTACAACATTCAAAAACATGCTAAAACTCGATCAGAGCGCCATCAGCAAGGAGTCTTCGATGTGCGGCGGCGCTAATCGTGAGGTTCATGTCTTCTTTATGCCCATCATCATCCTCCTCATCATCAATTTGAATCAGAATCCCGGAGTCTTCCGTAGCCGTTGTCGACGCCGACTTCCCGCCTCGATTTTGGAGTGCAAGCTGGACAGTGAACACCCGGTGCAGACACCATGCTATCGAAGAGGCCTGGAGAAGGGGGTGCTGTTTGGGTTAGTGCGGTTTAGAAAGCGGAAATGCACTAGGTTCTGGGCATTAATGAATGAATTTCACCTGGTCCTATCCTTCCCGCATTAATAGGGGCTATGTGCGTTCGTCAAAATCATTAGATTTTGCGCTAGATAAAAGCATAGAACTACGAACCTCCAAATACAAAGCCCAGTTAAGTTGTGGCATTAACGCAAAAATGCTGTATTTTAGGACTTTCTAGAAAACGTAGAAAACGTGGGTTTCTGCGCAGTAATGAAAAACGATGAACTATTTAATCAAAAGTATCGAATTTAGACCTATGTTCGCCTTAAAGAGCGTATACTGTATGGAAAACACGGAAAATCTGGGCTTATAACACGTCATAGAAAATTTTCGGTTTGGCACCTTGAGGTATTGAATTAAGATAATAAATTTAATTCCTGGAAGCAAAGGTTAGCACGGATTCGAAGCAGAGCGTGTCAATGTTGCGCGCATCAAGGAAGTTATAAGGAAAGATTTTAAAGCACTGTGGTGCTCATATCCGTAGATTAAAGCTAGTCCAACCACCACTACCACCACGCATGCTCGAACCACCACGAAAAATTTGCAGCAATTTGGTGAAAACCCTACCATTTGCGAGAAGTACCGCCGCTGCACCATTTCACCCTTTTTCCGGTCTAAAATAACGAAGGGTTTGGTTTTTTTATCATTTTCCTACCGAATTCCTCCAATACAAAACAGTTGCCCCCGTACGTGTTGCACTTTTTGATGTTGGCCAACTCGATGAAAACTTGCGAGTTTTCGAACAGGATGGCGATACCGTCGATTCGGACCTGAAGGAAAAGCGTTTTTGCTCTCTCTCTCTCTCTCTCTCTCTCTCTCTCTATCTCTCTCTCTCTCGCTCTCTCTACCGCCATTGTTTTTCTCTCACCTGCATCAATCCGCCCTGGTTGGTCTCAGTGTCGTGTACCGGGAACTCTCCTCCAAGGTCTCGCCCCTCAACCGATACTCTGCCTCTCGCTGCCGCTCTTTCCATTGCTGCTTTCATGCAGAGGTAGAGCTCACGACACTGAAAAATGGGTTTAACTGTGACCGGAAGAGCTTAAGTTTAGACAGGAATTCAGACTTCAGAAAACGAGCTTCAAACCGAAGACAAGTTAACTTTTAACCTTGGATGTTAAAACCGTTGATTTGACACTTCTAGAATTTCTACGTAATTCACGAATTTCCTTTGGTGCGCCGCTCTCCCTACTCACCTTCTTCGTGAAGAACTTGTCCATGTGGACCTTATCCTCATGCCGTCGCCACAGGCACAACACTTTCGTCTTTGGGGAATACGTCATGTTCACCAGCCGCTCGTACCACCACCGTTCTGTTACTGCTCCAGTTACCGCCCGTAGTACTACTGCGTCGTCGCATACCTGAAGTTGTAGAAAAATTGCTTTACTTCAAGTTCAAGAGTTCGCGATAGTGGAGAAGCTTGGCGGTAACCCGATTGAAAAATCACGCCAAATTTGTAGTGTGTGGCCGAAAATGGATAAAAGGCAGGTAAAATCAATGGAATTAACTAACTAAAACTACGAAAATTACCCTAAATTGCAAAAATTCTTCTAATTTCATATAGGGGAGAAGTTTGGCGAGTACCCCGATTGAAACAGGTGAATTTTGTAGTTTGTAGCCCAAAAAATCACCATTTTAGAGAAAATAACTTGAAATCGAAGACTACAAGGTACAAAATAAACACAGTTTGCATTTTATAAGAATACAAAGGACAAAAAGTGTATTTTTGAGGCTACAGACCACTAAATTGACCGAAGAACCTTGATCAATCTTACTATAAATAAAATTTGGTCTATTTTCTATCAGTTTCTATACAACCGGATATTGATGTATTGTCTTTCTCTCTTTACATGAAGAGGAAGTTTGACTGGCTAAAGAATTGCTGAAAAATATAGATTATTTTCCGTTTTACTTTGGATGTCCCCTACCTCCAAGAACATCATTGTTCCCTGGGCATTCGATCCAGCGTAGACGGTAAATGATTGCTTTTGGACGAGTCGGCTGCCGAGTGGTTTTAACGGGATGCCGTTGCCTTGCTGAAAAAGGCAAATTTTGGGATTTTTAAGACCCAAAAATCTAATCAAAATCAAAAGTGCAGGAAATATGCTCCTATCAGTGAAACTCTTAAGAATATGCAAAACTTACCTGTTGCGGCAAATCGTCCAACAAGATGTTGATCGTTTTGGAGCAGACGAGGCCGATGTGTGATTTTCCGAGGAGCCGACGGATTTTCTGCAAAAGAAGAGGTGAAGGAAGAGAGAGAGAGAGAGAGAGAGAGAGAGAGAGAGAGAGAGAAATCGGAAATAAATCGATACCTGTTGAATAGCCTTTTGCCCCGTTCCGCACATGATCATGTAGCCGGTCAGGTTATGGAGAAGTGTGGATAGCAACCGATCTTCTTCCAGCTCTAACCGCTTTCTCTCACTATCGGATAGGGTGGCGTATCTAAAAATAGCAGGTGGGATTGCGCGAGTTCAAGTCGTTCAGGTGCGTATTGCCCACGGCTTGTCAAATCGTTTTTAGCTGCCCGAGTTCAAGTCATTCAAAACTTTTGGGGGGTTCGAGTTCGGTTCGAGAGAGTTCGAGCAATTAATTTCTCTTAAGCTTTTGGACTTGCTTGACTTCCTGAATTTCCCGAAGCTGCTCCAGCTATGCAAGTAGCTCGAACTGCACGAACAACACGAATTACCAACCTATCAATCATCTCGCTCGGCTCCTGATCCATGCCAATGATATCCCTCTCCTGCCCGACGACATCGTAGAAGGCGTTCTCCCAGAACACCGTGTTTTGCCAAAGAGGATTGGGGCTTGGCACTAAAAAGTTTGATTTTTAGCAGATCCGTTTTTGGCATATTTTTCGTACATTAAAGTTATAGCTATGCGACCGCTACGATAGCAAACTAGGGGCATAAAAGCCAAAAACGTACATATCAAATCCTGGTAGATGTAGTGTCGAGTGGGCTCCATCGGGGTGGCGATAGATCTGGGGGATGTCGAGGCGCTGTTGGAGACGACGGGCAGGGAAAGTGGCATCTGAATTTTTGAGATAGTCTTGTCTCTCTCTCTCTCTCTCTCTCTCGCCTACCCTCAGCTTTTCCAATTGTGTCCGTTGTGACGAGCTGCTGCTACTCTCGATACTCGCTTCCCTCGCCAGCTTGCTGTTTTCTTGTATGCTCTCCTGGCGTGGAGGCGGAGGTCGGGGTGGCATTGGAGGTATCGCTCCGGATGAAGAGGATGCTAAAATAGATTCGTTAGGTGCTGAAGCGCAAATCTGTTTCCACAAGAAACGCTGCTAGCCCATGAGCAGGTGCTCAAAAGATTTTTTTGATAGGTCTTAGCAATTTTAACACGATACTAAATGTTACAAATTTCTTCTAGCTACTTTCTACACCCCAATTCATACCTCGTTTAATCTAACTCTACATACCTTCGCTCCCAGGCCTAGCTGGCAAGGGTGGAGGTCCAGAAGATGTGGAACTCCCAGGCCGCGGAGAAGCTGGTGGTTCTCGTGGTGGTAGTGGAGGAGGAGCAGGCCGGTTTGGCAGTGGAGGAGGAGCTGTATTTCCCGGGATTCCGAATGGGACTACGGTAGGTTGCTTCTGGGGTGGTCCTGGGGGTTCTGTTGGTTTTTCTGACGTGCTGGGTCCTTGGGCTGGTTCTCCGTTTGGCACTTTTCCAATGGGTTTTGGGCTGGCGCGCATGTCGAACGAGGTGGCGGGTAGTTTTTGGCGGGGCTGGAAAAAGGAGATGATCAAGAAGGCCCCAAAGACAGAGAGCGAGATAGAGAGAGAGTGAGAGAGAGAAATAGTGTGTGAGATTTCAAATCTTACCTGCATCTGCTGGAAGTCGTGCGACGAAGCGGAAGGAGTATTTAACTAAATAAATTTTTTAGAATTCAATTTTTTTTAACTTACCACCGAATTCGGCTGACTAGCCGGCGTCATCGAGCCGTCATCCCTACTCCAGAAGTGGGTGTGAGCAATTTCCAGAACGTGGAAGACGCTGGCCAACCCGTTGGATCCGGGGGTGTTGAATGAGAGCTGAAAAAAAGTATGTAGGCAGAGAGGGCGGAGAAAGCGCCAGAGAGAGGGAGAGGGAGAGTGCGAGCAAGTAGGTAAGGGAAACGACATCGGTAGGATCAATTATACCTCGATCCCAGCCAAACAGGCCTGCAGCACCTTGACGTAACCTTTGTATTGCGCTCGGGTCAGGGGCTAAAAATTTGTTGTCTAACAATTTGATAGATCCTAAAGGGGAGGGCTACGTATTGTAGTATGTACTGGCTAGAAAAAGGAAAAAACTTACGAATTCCTTCACGTATTCCTCCTCGGTAAGCTTGTTCTCCAGACCGAGGTTCAGCTTGGAGCACACCAATTCCCGGAGGCTCTCATCTTCCATTAGTCGCTGGAATATTCCCAAATTTTGCATATTATTAATCTGATTTATACCTTAAATTTGGGGTACGCGAACATGCCAATTCCTTGACCAGCAAGGATGGCGTCGCAGACTTCTCGGACAGCTTGTTGGTTTTTGCTGAAATAATGGATTAGAGAATGAGAGCGAGAGAGCTTAAGCCTAATCCTAAGCCAGCACAGCCTAGGACCCAGCCTAAGCGATGTCTAAGTCTGAGCTCAAGCCTAAACCTAGGCATTTCCTTAGGCCCAGGTCTGTCCGAAGCCTAGCCTCGGCCCACGCCTAAGCCTAAGCTTTATCCTAAGCAAATCCGTCTCTATATACCTTTGTTGATTGGCCGTCTGTGCCGATGTCTGGACACCCTGCGTCTTTGACTTGACAGCATGTTGACTTTGCTCTATCCTGCTTGCCGTCGCATTTGCCAGCGGCTTCAAAGCCTTATCCCTGATCGCCTGCGCCTGCTTCAGCCCGCCAGTCTTGTTCAGCACCTAAAAATTCGATTTTTTTTTGCATTTTAACCGTTTTTTTGACAATTCACAAGCACGCGCCACAATGACTACACGACACTCCACCTAGACAGTCGCGCGAACCTGGCTGAAAATGCCCGAGCTTTTCTCGGCCAGCCCGTTAAAGCCGCTCATGAAATTGCCGCTGGTGTCGGTGAGGGAGGAAAGCTGAATATTTTAGGGGTATACAGGCTGCATACCGTTTTCTTTTTTGATCTTGAGCAACTTTTAAAAACACCAGAATCCAAAGTTATAGTTCCAGAGATTAACACACAGTTTTCGAGGGTTTTGGCCATATTTTGGCTATCTGGAGACTATTTTTTTGCTATTAAAGCCAATTAAAATGCATTCATGGAAAATGCAATTTTATTGGAATCGTTTGTACCTACCTTTAATTTTCCTCTCATTGGTAGCGGAATTTTCGGGGTTGTCGAGTGGTTGTCGGCATCGGATTGCAGCGTTTTTCTTCGATTCTGCACTGGGGTATGCTCTTCCTCATCGTCTTCATGATCGAAGGAGAAGGCTCCCTAAAAATGTTCATATTCTCTCTCTCTCTCTCTCTCCCTCTCTCTCTCTCTCTCTGACTCTGTCTTTCTCTCTCTCTGACTCTTCCTTTCTCTCTGCTCCGTTCCCACTTACCTTAGCATCCGACTTCAACGCCAGGTTCTCGGCCAGCCGCGCAAAGTCAGCCTCACTGTCCTGAGCCGAGGCGGAGCGCGAGGAGGAAGGGGAGGAGCTGGAACGATAGAATTTTCAGGAGCACAAGCTTCTTGGGTCGACATCCACCATAAACTTCCCAAAAACTCACTGCCCACTGCTTATCGAGCTTCCCAAGCTGACCGCACTCTCACTGGCTGGGATCTCGAGATTCAGGGGCTCCTTGTAGACGTCGTTGACCTCACCGAGGGGCTTGGAAGCGATGTGACGGTCTGAAAATAGAGTTGCTAAGTTTCTCGCTAGAGCTTTGATCGTCGCTCTCTCTCCTCGCTCCCATTCTTTCTAACTCATTCTCTCTCACTCTATCTCACTCTCTCTCTCTCTCTCTCTTCCTCTACTTACCCGGTGCCTCATCCGGGCTATCGAATACCAAATCATCAATGCTCGAGGTACTCCCGGGCCGATGATCAGCTTCATCGTCGCTCTCCTCCTCTGAATCGTCATGAGGAGCTTCTCGTTTCCAGACGTCCAAAGCAGAAGCCAGGGTCGAATTGTCCGGATACACCTCAAAAAAAATTAAGTTTAAAGTAAAAATTTCGGCAAAAAAGAGTGATTAGCGTCTCGAAAAATCTGGAAAGTGGACCCCTAAACACGCTCCACTCACCGTAAAATGCACTGGCATCAACCCATCGGCAAACCATTTCGCTTTGTCTCCGACTTGTTGCGCTTTCTCGATTCCGTTTTGCACCCTTACGAATGTTTCATTCTTCGGGCACAGACACTCTTCGGCAAAGTACTCGACGGCTTGTGTCCTGGAATCAGGTTGATTGGCTTGTTCTCGTTTCGTCCTCGCTCTCTCGCTTTCTCTCTCTCTATCTCTCTCCCTCGCTTGCATAAGTTATACCTGCACAAGTCCATGGTAAACTGGGTGCAATTCGGGCGGGAGCGGAGGAAGGATTCAGATTGTAGGGCCACCACAGGCCTTGGGTACAAGCGTAAGGTTCGGGTATGTTCGGAAAAGTTGGCGAACACGTTCGTCGAGTTGTAGAATTTTACCTGGAAGCGGATTTATGAATTAGCATAATAGCATGTCCTATGGTCCAGAAAAAAGTAAAAATATCCTAAACGTAATTAAAATCACTGAATTGCTACCAGAATTCTATTCAAAGAATTTACAGAAAAAGGGGTGCCTGGTAAGCTGACTTCCAAGCACTAATAGACAAGACTTGGCTTCAATGGCCCTTTAAAAGTTGGGGATTTGTACTTACCATCGACACCCTACAAGCCACATCAACCTCATCGGCATCGTTGGTATAATTCGCCTCAATCGATCCCCTGCGCTCCTCCACCAAGTTCGTGCTCATCTTGTTCAGCGCGTTTCGGATGTTCATCTGAATTTTTCGGTTCGTTTTTCTAGAGCAAGGGTTTTACCTTCAATTGACTGGCATCCGGCTCCGGAAGTTCCGGCAAGGAGAGCTCTTCCGGGATATGGACTTGGCAAGAGTCCAAATCCACGACGATGATGTCGGACGGGATTTCTTGGAGCTTCTTGTGGGCCCAGAAGGAGGATGGGACTCCGATCACGAACGGGGTGGGGGCGAGCAGGAGCTGAAATCGGATTATTTTTATAGCTCATGCCCGTTAGATCTCTCTCTCTCACTATCTCTCTCGTTATTCATAATTTTCGCTACCTCTCGCACAATCTCAATCCCCACAATTACTCCGAAAAATGGAGCAAAGCTTTGGCCATTTTTTGAAAGACTGACTCTGGTCTTGGCCCCTAGCCATGCCCCGGCCTCTGCTTCCAGAAAGCAATTAGTCGGGGAGCGAGCGCTCGCGCTGGATGTGGACCCGGAAGATCCGGCAGCGCTGGCCGCTCACCCCAGGCGGGGCGAAAAATGGCTATTGGATAGCTACGGAGCGGTGGGAGGTATTGAATACCCCTGCGAATGGCAGGGTATCAGATGGTTAATGGATTTAGGTATTAGAAACTGGAAATGAGTCATTTGAAAGGTATGGATTTGCCTTGTCGGTACCTTGAAAAGGTATAATTTTGAAAAAATGAATTGAGGTGTGAGATAGGGGACAAAGGAGAGAGTGATAGAGAGCGAGACAGAGAGTGACAGAGGGACATAAAGAGAAAAAAGACAGATAGAGAGAGACAGTGCGAGAGAGAGAGAGAGAGAGAAAACATAAATTTTGCCTTCCAGATACCTTTAAAAACCAGAGAAATCGAAAACCCACATGCTCTGCCGACTGCATGTACGCGGGTAGTAGTGGAATAACCGGAAACATGTACTCCAGCGGGTAGAGTAATGCGACAAAAGACAGTACACACATCGAGACGGCATTGTAGTTTCGAGATTGGAGCACTACCTGAAATACCGTCATCCATACGTTACGCTACGTTCGTCTTTAGTATCCCCTCGTACTCTCTGAGAATCATAAGCTAGTCAAGTCTCAAGTATACCTTATACTCCAACATCACCGCCGAGAGCACCTTGACCGCCGCCTCGATTCCGAGCAGTTCAAAGGGGAGGTGAAGTGGGAAGTCGACGAGTGAAAATCGTGTATGATCGGGTAGGGCGAAGGAGAACATGGGGATGATCTCGGGCGGGAGAATCTGAATTCGTTGGTTAGAAAGCCAGAGAGAGAGAGAGAGAGAGAGAGAAGAGAGAGAGTGAATGAGTAAGTGAGAAAGAGAGTGAGTGAGAGAGAGAAATAGAGAGAATGAGAGAGAGAGTGAGCGAGAGCAACTCCCTCACCTCGAGTTGAACCTTCGTTTTCCCAGGCACCGGCACCGGCGAGGACAACATCATCAGAATCCAAGTCTCAATCTGCTTGATCTCTTTCATCACCTCGGTCGGAATCGTGTCTTGCCAACTTCCGGTCAGCACAGACCATACTATTTCCCTAAAAATATGAAAATTGATGCATTGGTTACGTTTTTTGAGTGGTCGTAGTAGAACCTTCAATTTCTTCGGGGTTTTGCTTACGGGCTCGCTTCCTGGTGGACTGCTGGTATTTAAGATTTTAAAAAGATTTTAATTTCTGGATTGCAAAAATTCTCAAAAGATCACTACTAGCTTGCCGGGCCTCAGAAAATCCCAAAGAATCTCTGTTAGCTTGCTTTGCTCTTGCAAGTAGTAAAGTCGCTCTGCTAGATCCGCGATACTTAAAAATAGCAAAAGATCTCTGCTAGCTGCCGCGATTCTTAAAAATAGCAAAAGATCTCTGCTAGTTCGCTGGCCCTAGAAATCTCAAATGTTCTTCCCGAACTCAAAGCTTGCTTTCTTCCGAAGACGCAAAAAAGCCCTGCTAGCTTGCCCTCAATTCCCATTCTAAACTTTCCAAAAAATTACGCTTCGCTGCCCTTTTAAACTATACAATAAAGTATTAAACTTACTTCAAACTATTCGAAAGTGAAGCCCGATAATTCGCCGCGTCGATCAGCTTCTTCAGGATGATCATCAACTCGTGAAAAATCGAGATGAACGGGTGGTGGGAGATTAGGCACATGGACGTGAGGGAGACCTGCTGGTCGCGTCTAAAGGAGTGTTGCGTACACTACAGTAATTACAGTACTTTTTGGTTTTGTTCGCCGGTCCATCAGCCGTCCTCCTCTCGCAGGATTGGAAAAAATTGAGGCAGACTCCGTAGCGAATTTTGGAGGTGTCCTTTTCGGTCAGCATAAAAACGAAGAATTGGGTGTCCTTCGCGCGACGCTCTCGGTTGGAGTAGCCTAAAGGAATAATTTAGTTTTGATCTCGAAAACTTGATTTTTTTGGCCTATTTCAGTTGAAAAATACGTAATATAGATCTGGAATCCATAAAATACTGGAATTCTTTAAAATCGCTTCGTTTTGCCCGGCATTTAAGAAAATTCTTCTACTGAAATAAACTAAGAAACTATAAAAATTTCGATCTTGCGTTTTTCGAATTTTTTTGAATAGTATTTTCCTGTAGGTAACTCACTGATAGTCGGACATCCCTCGGGTTGGCAAAATACGGTAACTTCGTTAGGTAAAGGGAAGTCCTTGTGGTCGTCGGTTGGATACCTCAAAAAAATCAGTTTTTCTTGGTCCTATCCTATAAGCGAGAAAAGTATGTTTGTTTTCTGTAATGAAGATTTCTCGGCCGTCTGGTATTTAAATAATCAAAAAATCCATTCTCGCATGAATAAAGTCGATCAAAATATCAATAATCTTCAAAAGTCACCCTAACCCCTCTCGAAAAAGCTTAAAAATCTGGTTTTTTGATAAAATTGTTTTTAGTTCTTTTGCTTACCGTTACCACTTGATTTACTGAACGCCTTTTTAATCTTAAAACCCATAGTAACCCTAAAAAAATAGAATATCAGTCACGAGGGTTTTTTTCCTTGATTTTTGCATCGTGTTTTCGAAAGAAAACAGCTTTTTCGCTTCTTGTTCTTCTGCTTGGCTTAAATTAAATACTTCGTTTTCGAAAATACCGTTCTTTTAAGTAATCTCAACGATCCCTCACCTCCTCAACAACTCCGGATGGGATACAGTATGCGAATTCGGGTTCAGCGGGAGCCCAGCGTGCGTGGAGACCGAGGTCGAGCGCTAAAAAGAGATTATAATTGGGTTTTTTTGGGGAAATCGGGAAAATTATTAGGGCGCTTAGAATTACCCCCACCTGTTTCGGCCGTTTCCCCACCACGACCAGATAGTCGATTAGCCGGGGGCAAAGTTCTTTCCCCTTGTCATCCATGTTTGGGCATAGTTCTGCAACGAAGATTTTGGTTTTCAAGGTTTTTAAGTGCAACAAAACACAAAAATGAAAAGGATAAAAAATCAATCAATTTAAAAAATTTTTAGACGAAAACCTCCTCCTCCTGAAATTTCTAAAAATTGCTAGGAATTTGTAAGCGTTTCATTAATGCGTCGAGGTAAGCTAGCAGTGTCCCCGAGAAAAGGCAAGCAGAGACTTTAGGATTGGTAACAGCAAGCGATCTAGCAGTTCTTTGAGAAAGCTTTCAAAAAGATGCTGGGCTAGCCTGCAAATATTCCTTGATAATAAGGGGACAAGCTAGCAGCGATTCTTTGAGATTTTTAAAATTCCTGACCGAAACCACTATTTGAGCTAGAAGAAATCCAGCATCAAAAAGTTGCCAAAAATTCACAAGAAACCTCGAAAATTCCCGTACCTGCGAATGGGACCCAGACAGCTCAACGTTAATCCAATTTATACCCACCCAAAACTCACCTGCCAGCCCACCCCCTCGACCCATTTTGAGCTAATTAAAAACATCATTTTTGGGGTGTAAATATGGAATTCAGGGGCTCAAAATATCCCGGCCACCCACCCGGGGCGGGACTTAATTTTCCAGAGCCAAACGAGGGAGATAAGGGGGCGTCAAAACCCGATGCGTCATCTGGAACAAAACGGCGAAAACGGAAAATATGGCGCTCGCCTCGGCTCTAGCAGAATAGGGCTAAAAGAACTGGAGAATTTAGAATTAGCTTTTTGGTTGGTGGCTGGCTGGGGCTGTCTGCAGCTCGTGGTGTTCGTTGGATGAAATTGGATTTTGGGAAATATATGTTGTTTTTCGGTGAAAAAGTCACAAGTTGGACGAAGTCGAGGTTTTGCAACCCTTAATACAGCCACAAAAATTCCTTAAAATTAGTTCCCCAAATTCTAGTATCCAATTTAAGGCTCTACTTGACATTTTGAAAACTCTTAAAAATATTTAAAACACTTAGAAAATTTGCTAGTGTTAGAATATACTTCATTAAACGTCCTTTTCCAAGCCTTGAAAACTTGAAACGCAATTTTTTGATAATATCTAGAGAAATTTATGCCATTCCAAGGTCTTCAAAACCCCGATAAGCTCAAAATTCTGACCTCAAAAGCCCTCAAAAATAGCCCTAAAATGGCAACACGGCCCACTGCAGAGTAGCCAAATAATTGCCGCCCCTAGAACCCTGAATTCTCTCACAGGAAAAAAATGTGAAAATTGAGGGTCTGGGATTCTTGAGAAATTTGTTGCGACGGGACTCCAGCAAGTTCGGATTTTCGTAATCTTGGAGGACAAGAAAACATTTTTCTGGACGCTAATGGCACTTACCATGAAAAAGAAAGGGAGAGAGCGAGGGAAGAGAGAGCGGATGGGAGAGAGAGCGAGAGAGAGAGGTTGAGTGATTGAAATCAGAAAGATAGTTCGGGTTTCCAGACAAAAATTTTGAAACTAGAAAAAGAATAATAGATCAAGTACCAGCCTTTCAAAATTTGATGGCCTACGAAATTACGAAAACCGGAATTTTTTTGGCATGGTTCCAGCACCTTGAAATCCTAGCATTTCCGGTTTCAAAGCTTCAAAAATTTGTCTTGAAGCCGCAAGCGCATCCTGCTTCCTACATCGATTCCGCAAATAAAACGGCATCCAGGAAGAAAAAAAAACACAGAAAAACGTCCGCCCGTTTCGTCAGCGCCCCAATTCAGGGCTTTTGGCCAACCAGGCACAAAACCATGTGTGTGTGCATTTGGGGGCATATAGAGGATGCCGAAAAAGGAGGGGCAGAAAATGGGGGAAGGCCACGGACGAGGCGCTCCAGATGAGGGGTGGTCGGGAGAGAGAGAGAGAGAGAGAGAGAGAGAGAGAGAGACGGAAGGTGGAAGCAGAAGCACACGGCAGACAACGCATCGATCTGTCTCTTCTCCCCCCTTCCCTCTCCAGCTCCATCCCTTCACACTGGCCTTCCAATAGCATGCTGCTGCCAGGCCGGGAATGGGGAGTTAGCCTGGACTAGAGACCCCGAGATGAACGTTGCGCGGAATGTAGCGGAACGGAGACAATGGTTCAAGTTCCCAAATGGGCCCGGCTAGCTTGCCTTTTGATCTTTATTCGGGATTTCCCAAAGAACCTCTGCTAGTTAGCCAGGCCTGGTGGCCATAGTTGAACGTTGGAAGGAATGTAGCGGAACGTAGGACAACGGGTTCGATTCCTAAATGGTCTCGGCTAGTTTTCCATTCAACATCTTGGACGCGCTGTCAACAAAATGCGAATTCCAAAAGAATTACTGCTAGCATGCCGTGACCAAACAAAGCCAGAAAAAGAAGAAATTTTCTAAAGAAACATTGCTAGCTTGCCTCTGCTAAATTTGCTCGCTCTCTCTTTCGTCTCCAAAAAACTTTCTCGCTGGCCTAAAAACCAAAATGTTTGCCGCAACAACCAAGGGGAGGGGGGAACAAAGAATCTCGGACCTTTACCTGCTCTCTTTAGAACTCCCCTCTCTCTCAAGGTCTAGCGTCTCTCTTCCCATGTCTCTCTCTCTCCTCTCTCTCTCGCCCTCTCTCTCTCCCTCTATTTCACTCTAGAGCGTAGGAGGATGAACGCATGAACGCGGATGATGGAGAGCGAAGAGCCGGGGGAACGGGGGATGCAAACGAGGCCTACACGCTCCCTTGGGCTTATTCTGGGACTGGGGGTTCCGGAGTCCAGAAAGGAGCACGAATCCCGAAAGAGAGAGAGAGAGAGGGAGAGAGGGGAGAGAGAGAGAGAGAGAGAGAGAGAGAAAATACGCTTCCATTACCAGATTGCCGTAAATTTGGGGGAAGCTTGGATGAGTTGTGGCCTAACGACCAGCTTGGTGAATGGAATCCCAGAATCGAACGTGCTTTTTAGCGAAAAAAACACCCTTTTAAATTTTAAAAAAACCTTTTAAAATATAACAAAAAAAAAAAATTGCTTGGGAACCCCCTTTCTTTTATCTTATAATTAAAAAAAAACATTTTAAAATTGCCCGAAACCAAAAAATTGCTTGGTATTTGAGTTTCCAGAAACGAATTGATATAAGACACAAAATTAGCATCCAAAATTTGCATAAATTTTATGAATTTCCCGGTTCCGAATAGGCGATACAGGTAATTCAGACATGTCCAAATCTCTCGCCCACCCATTCGGTCGTCTACTCGAAGATTCTTCATCTCATCCTCCTCATCTTCTACCAACCCCCTCGCGAAAAGATGCCCCTACTGACCCTGCTACCGTATCTACTGACCACGCTGCTGCTCCCCGTCTACGCGCAGTTCAACTGCGGCGCCTCCGGCAAGAAGGCCAATACTAAGGTAAGAAAACTGAAGCTTTTCTGATGTGCAAATTAGGGATTTAATTTTTTTGGCTTTACAGGGAGAGTGACAGCTAAATAAAACCATTAACCCCCCCCCCCCCCCCCCCCTTCCTTTTTTGCCCCCCCCTTCTTTCAGGTTTTTTTATTAAAAAAAAAAATTATCCCAAAAAAAAAAACCTCTTTTTTTTTTTTTATACCCCCCCTAAAAAAAAAAAAGAGGGGAGAAAAAAAAATTTTGTGGGGGGGGGGGGGGGTATTTTATTTTTTTTAAAAACTTTTTTAGACCTCAAAGCGCGACTCGAAGCGCTCGCAAAAGTCTGAGGGTCTGGCGACCACGCAGTCGGAGCAAGAGCACGAGAGCATGGACGACACACAGTTCGAATCAGTGGTATGTCAGTAAAACGCTCACCCTTTTACTCTCTCACACTCTCTTCTCTCTCTCTCTCTCTCTCTCTCTCTCTCTCTCCTTCTCTCTCTCGCGCTCCTCCTCTCGCGCTCCCAATCCTCTCTCTCTTCTCTCTCACTCTCTGAAGCTCCATGACACTTTAGATCTCTCTTTCTCTCTCCCTCCTCTCTCTCTCTCTCTCTCTCTCTCTCTCTCTCTCTCTCTCTCTCTCTTTCTCTCTCGATTCTAATGCAAATTCAAAAATCTTTTTTTAGAAAGTCGTGCCCACCCACTGGCCCCACAAGTCGGCCGTCCGGCTTTTGTCAAAGAAGGTGACGCTCAATCGAGAATTTCTATGAGCCTGAACTTGCAGAAAGCGGTGGTGAAGGCGAAGCACAGCGAGGAGCCGGTGGACAGCAAGCCGATGGAGGAGGTGGTGATGCCGACCGCGTGAAGAGCTTCAACTTTAATACGACGCCCCCGACACTATTCCACGCGATTCGTCTTTACGTTTGACCCGACCCCCCTCCCCTCTCATCCTCTTCTCGCCATTCTTTTCGATCGAATCACCAACAGATATTCCTACTCGAATTTTCATCCCCCGGCCGACCCCTAGCCGTTGCTTTGCCTGTGTGATTTTTGGATGTGTTTTTGTGTGTATAAAGTGTCATTGGCTTGAAAGCTAGTACGGAAAACAACAAATTACGTAGAAAAACGACGATGAAACCTCCAGAAATGTTACGTTTTAAAGGGATTGTGTATGCGAGACTCGGATTCCGCGTCTTCTGAGTTTGGGTTTTGAACATTAGAGCCTTTCTGGTGGTTGAAGATTAGTACGATGGACTACAAAAAAAAACAGGAAAAACGCAACGCCTACGAAAACGGCTGAAAAAGCCATTTTAAAGGGACTGTGAAGGCAATTATTGATGTAGATCTGTGTACAGACTATAAAGTGCTTTTAATTTTCCAATTTTTCAAGCTTTGGGATCGACTAGAAAGTACAGCAGACCCCAAGTACGCTAAAACTCTGCTATCCGTTGGCCGTAGTATTCTGAGTGATTAGATGCCGGAAAACTTGCTTTTTAGAGGTGAAACTCCTAATAAAAAGTACAGTGGCTTGCACATAATTTCTGTCGCATTAAAAACCTCGAAAATCTGGTTTATGGTTTCGAGAGTGCATAAATTACTTTTTAAGGGGCTTTCAACTTCGAAAGCTGAATTTTTAAAGCCTAGCTTCAAAACAATTGGATTTCGCG